CTGCCTGCGGGACATCCTTCTGCTACAACCGCGGGCGCTGCGTGTTCAACCGCTGCGTGTGTCCGCCCGGCTTCTACGGGTCCCGCTGCCAGTTCGGTGAGTTGTCAGTTTCGTTTAGATTGTCGTTTGTTATTTGGCAAAGGAAATGATACAGTGTTTAATGTGACTGCCTGTCAATTTTTCTCTCTGGGAGTTCAGTCGTGAACAAAACGAACAGTAATGACAAAATATCTATACACCTATCTATATATATCTTATACACCACAGAAAACAACACACACACACAACACACACACACACAACATATATATATATATGTGTGTGTGTGTGTGTGTATGTATATATATGCATATATATAGAGTGATACACACACACACACACACACACACACACAAACACATATGTTGTCTGTGTGTGTGTGTTGCATTCACCGTGCGCTCAATAACGGCTGAGTAAAAGCAGGCTTATGAGTTTGCTTGTATGAGTATATGTGTGTGTGTTCGTGTTTTGTGTCTGTGTTCATGTTTAGGTTTATATGTGTGTGTGTGTGTGTGTGTGTGTGTGTGTGTGTGTGTGTGTGTGTGTGTGTGTGTGTGTGTGTGTGTGTGCGTTATGTATAGGTGAAAAATTAGAATATATGTTTACAGATTAAAATGTTTGTCACTCTTCTGTCCATGGATCAGGCGCGGGCGCGTGCGGGGGCGGTGGCTGTGAGCAGGAGTGCGGCAGCCCCGATTCTGCGGGAGGAGCCGCCTGTGCGTGCAGGCCTGGGTGAGTAGTGAATCAGTCATTTTGCCAAACATATCCTAATACAAATGGCCATTTAGGCATATGTGCCTCTCTGTGCATCGCCCATCTCGAGCAACAGACGAGCAGGATCCCTCCTTGAGTTCCCTGAGTTAGACCCCCCCCCTGCCCTGCAGGTACAGCCTGAGCCGCGACGGGCGGCGCTGCGAGGCGGCGGACCCCTGCCAGCTCGACAACGGCGGCTGTCAGCACCGGTGCGAGGTGTCCGACGGCCAGGCGCGATGCTCCTGCCCGGAGGGCATGAGGCTGAGCGACGATCAGCGCACCTGCACCGACGAGGACGAGTGCCAGACGCCCGGCATCTGCAGCCACCAGTGCCGCAACACCTGGGGCTCCTACACCTGCCTGTGCAATTCCGGCTACCAGCTGGGCACCGACCACAAGTCCTGCTACAGTAAGGACCTTGCTATGACGCCCACGTCCTTTAAAGTATACAACTCTTTTATCTGTCCATGGCTTTTAAAAAATATATCACTGATCTAAATATTTTAATCAACATGTTTCCCCATAATATATATTGTGAGAGTATGCAAATGACAGATTTCCATCGTGGTTATTACATACAAAAATTAAGCTGTCTGGCAAACATTCATATCGCCCGAAATTTGGTTTATTCTGTTAAAGCATTTGGGATCCGGTTAATAGGATAGGTAGTTAAAAGAGCGACGTTTAATCATGGCAGCATGCTAATTAGTATTTTATTGCATGTCACAAACAGTTACTGATACTTTAACCAAGAATATTATGACATGTTAGATACATAAGTATTCTCCTTTCGTGCAGTGATCGACATGGAGGTGATCAACTCTTGTCTGGAGAACAACGGCGGCTGCGAGCACATGTGCCGCCACGCAGCAGGCGGCGCCGTGTGCAGCTGCCATGTTGGCTACCTGCTTCAGCCTGACCAGAGATCCTGCCAGGTGAGCAATTCCTAATCTCTGAGCATTACTCCAGATAGCATATGGCGTTTGCGAACACTTCCAAAATCCCTACTGTTTGCTTCATCTTTCAGGACAACAATGAGTGCGAGTCGGGCAGCCACAGGTGCGAGCAGCAGTGCGTCAACACCCCCGGGGGCTACGCGTGCGCTTGCAGGCAGGGATACACTCTCAACACTGACGGTTTCGCCTGCGACGGTTTGTGAAATGACCCTGTTGTTATCACTCTGATGTGTAAATAATTGTAATCCATATTTGCAGCGAACATGGTGTTTCACTGCGGTTCATAGCAATACCTGATCCCTAGATGTGGACGAATGCGCGCAGGAGAACGGAGGATGTGAACACGAATGCAAGAACACCCCGGGCTCTTTCAGGTGCTCTTGCAGGCGAGGGTACCTGCTCGTCGACCTTACACACTGCGACAGTAAGTGTTTCTGTGTTCTCAGTGACACCTTTTTAACATGAATTTACTTATCGCAAGGAAGGTGTCACAATTTCCTCAATGGCAACTTAAAGAATTCGCTGACTGAATGAAGTTCCGACCGCAACTGACCTCTGCATTTTCGTTTCCTCAAGTGATCGACTATGACTACGCCAGCAACGAATTAGAGGCGAGAATCACACAGCTTGAAGACGACAGCGAAGGCGACTCAACTCCCCCAGAACTCGACGAATTTGACACCATTACGTACGCAGAGCAAGCAAAGGTGGACAACATTATCACCCGTGAGTTCGCAATTAATCGGCTTTATCTATTTCCATCTCTCTTTCTGCGTGTGATGTGTCTATTTTCTTTCTTCAGTTTGCTCCTTAAAATCAAACATCATCTGTCTTGTTTCTGAGTATAGAATCGTGTTTCTCTGTTACATAGAAAATAAAAAAGTTAAAAGATATATATCATGATTCATGAACACGAGCATATGCCAGAATACCAGGTCACCCTCTGTCCTTCTCTCTCTCTAGGTTGCGTCCCAGGTCACTTCGGCCCCGACTGCGCACTGACCTGTAGCGACTGCCCCGGCGAATGTGACCCGGAGGCTGGGGGATGCGTGTGCGAAGCGGGGAGAACCGGGCCGACCTGTGACCTGACCTGCCCCGAAGGCTTCTACGGCGTCGGGTGTAACGAGGTAGAGGCTGGCCTTCGATTTGTCTCTGATGTCTGCCCGTGTATATGTTCCTGGAGATTTTTTGTCTGTATTGTTTCAACAATTTACGTTCATATACACGTACGTGTGTGTGTCTGTGTTTGCGTATGTGTTATAGCCAGAACGATGGCCAGGGCACAGAATGATGCATTTTTACATATCTAATTCAATGTATATCTTCACTTACATGAAATTCTTATAAAAGTTGGCAAGAAAATAGAATACCATCGCAAAATAATTAATAAAACTCCCCTCACATCCATATGCACAATCACGACTCCAGTCACCTAAAACAAAAGCAACATATATTTTCGCTCCCCAGGTATGTAGGTGTGAGAACGGGGGGACTTGTGAGGCTGTGAACGGGGACTGCATTTGCCCCCCCGGCGTCTCAGGCAAGTTCTGTGAAGATGGCTGCCCTGCTGGTAAGTTGCTTCAGCAAATATAAAAACGTGTTATTTTAAATATTTTTTTCTGCTGGTTGTGAGAATGTACCTAATTAGATGCTCAAAATTTCTACTCGGAGACTATTTGTGGACATGAAAGATTATGCAATATATTTCTAGCCTCTCAGGACTTTTTAGCCCTCCCTTGCATGTGATTTATGAGAATAAATAAGTGAAAAAAACACTTAAAACCCATGCTACTTTCTTCATTTCTGCCCAACAGGTTATTACGGCGAAAAGTGCGAACGTCGCTGCCCCATGATGTGCCCCTCGATGCGCTGCAACAGGGTCTTCGGCTTCTGCGAGTGCAATCCAGGTCGCTTCGGGCCCAAGTGCAACATGCCGTGCCCCCCGATGACCTGGGGTGCCAACTGCCGCCACCCTTGCAAGTGCCAGTTGCAGAACACAGCGCGCTGCCATCCCGAGGTGCGCTTCGCTTTTTGCAACGATTGCAGTGCATATCCTTTTTCGCTTTCTTTCGGAAGGGTTATAACTACGTAGCAGGAATTAGATAGATTCCATGACCTCTTATCTTGCTCATTTACATCATTCTTTAAATATAATTTGTCACTATCCATAATCTTACGCTTTATTCCTTATTATTATTATTATTATTATTATCATTCTTATTGTTATTATTACTATTATCATTATTATTTTTAATGCAAAAATGTTTTACTGAGGAATTTTTACATTATTTATTTACGTTTTTTACTCTTTATTTTTTTCATTTCTTATCATTCATTTATTTATTTTTTGTTTGTTTACATTTCCCATTGAAACCTCCCCCCACCCACCCCCAGAGCGGCGTGTGCGAGTGCCAGCCCGGCTTCGTGGGCGCCGACTGCTCCGAGGAGTGTCCGGCCGGGCGTTGGGGCGCAGGATGCAACCACGAGTGCCAGTGTGCCGACGGTGTCACTTGTCGACCTGACACCGGTGCCTGTGTCGTCGACTGCCCGCCTGGCTTCCGGGGACCTGCTTGCAATACGAGTGAGTGGATTGCTTTCTATTTGCTTATTTGTCCTTAATGTTTATCTATCTGTTAAGTGATGATAAAAGGAAGGGTATTTGAAGAGGACGTTGAATGATCGGAGAAATTGTTTTTATTTAGCATTATTACCTTTAGATCATCGGTTTTAAAATATTCATTGTATATACTTCATTGAAGTACCAATTAATCTTTCATCGCATATATTAGCAAATGATTATATTCATTTACGTGTTTATTCCTATCTGTTGACTCCTCCCCCCCCCCCGAAAAAATCAAATTCAACCGTTGCATTTTACCCTCTCCCCTTTATATCAAGGTTGCGACGCTGGACACTATGGCCCGGGTTGCATGAAAGTTTGCACGTGCGGGATGCTGCCATGTGACCCTGTCTCTGGCACTTGCTTGTGTCCAGCTGGCACCTACGGCCCTTCTTGTCTTCACCGTGAGTCCAGCTGTTATATTCTGGCCCTCGATTTGAATTTATCTTTTGTAATATGGACCTGAATATTTGTTATCAAAATCTGGGTAAAACATTTCTTACTATGGATAATGTATTAAACAGATTGTTTTCTTTAAATCAGTGATGGAAATTACATGAAGGTATATAATTATATGTATTATATGTGACAGAGTGTTCTGAGGGCAAGTGGGGACAGAGCTGCCTTCAGAATTGCCAGTGCCAGAATGGGGGGAAGTGCAACAGAGTGACAGGCGAATGCAACTGCCCGTTAGGATACACGGTGAGTTGCATGCGCGAATTGAATTTCATGTCTGGTTCATGTTCTTTATACCGATTTCCATTCAGTTAAACTCCTTCAAATGCATTTTTTTTTTTTTACTATATCTATCTATTTCTATTTTCATATTGATAATGATATTTCTTCAGGCAACACGACGTTCTTTCACTCCTCTATTCCTATTGATCTTTATCTTTATTCATCTGTTATATCCGAATATCATTGCTTTGCCAGGGCCCCACGTGTGAGGCCCGGTGCCCGCCGGGGAGGTTCGGCAAGGACTGCGGCGAGACGTGCAGCTGCCTCAACGGCGCCGCGTGCCACCATGTCACTGGGAGGTGGGCGTGGTCACTTATCCGTTGAGCATTGTCGTCTAAGCCTAGCGCGTTAATAAGGCTTGCTTCTTATTTAGTTTTAGAGAATACAGCATTTGTTACAGTTCAGTTGACTTCCGATATGAATGATACATTTCCAATGAACGATTTTGTCATAGTAGGGAAGTATTCGACGTATGTTTTGTCCGTAAGATGCATAAGAATATGTGATATGATCTACTCTCATAGAAATATGAGCAAATGCGTACTCATGTAGGTTAGAAATTTGCAGTTATACAACATTTAACGTTGCATAACGCCACGCCTCCCTGCAGGTGCGAGTGCGCCGCGGGCTTCACGGGGCAGCGGTGCGGGCAGCCGTGCCCCCTGGGGCGCTTCGGGCCGGACTGCGTGCACATGTGCGACTGCGACAACAGCGGCGGCTGCGACCGCGTGAGCGGCGAGTGCAACTGCGCCTCCGGCTGGCGAGGACCACACTGCACGCTGCGTGAGTATAACGTTTTACTCCATGATACACGCCCACAAATCTAAAATATCCTATTCATATTGATTTCTGATACAGACTACTTCTGTAGGTTTGATGTAAATTACTGCCCTCACCATAAAACTGCCGTAAAACTGGAGTAATTTATGAAATAAATCTGAAATGCAAAAACACGATACTGTATATTTGGAGTACCGGTGCTTCCGTGGCGGTGGAGCAGCCACCGCTACGAACTTGAGAGCACTCTGTAATGGAACCAAAATATTTTTTCCGATTTTCTTCATTATTGAACAGTCATTTTTAGATAAGTCAAGATGACCTTCATCTATCATAAGCTGGGAAGTGTATTCATGACAGATATGTACTTTTTTCTATGTCCTTAAGCCTGCCCTGATGGAACGTACGGCTCAGGCTGTGCCATGAACTGCAGCTGCGCCAACGGGGCCAAGTGTGATCACATATCTGGCGCCTGCATGTGCACACCAGGTAAGAAATTCTACATGGTGCAGGTAATGGATATGATTGCAGCATGCAATAGAACACGTATATATGCCATTTCTTAATTTACTACTAATCAAAGAAGCTACTAAAGTCAGTCTACACATTTTCTGTTTCTAAACCACCCCTGCACTCTCTGCTGCCAGGTTGGCGCGGAACTTTCTGCTCTCGGCCGTGTCCCGACGGGTTCTGGGGCCAGGACTGCCGGTCCCACTGCGGGTGCAGCGCGGGGGCGACCTGCGACCCCACCACTGGCGCGTGCGTCTGTCCGCCGGGCAAACATGGCCAGTTCTGTTCTAAAAGTAAGCCTCCCCACCTAAAAAAGAAGAAAGAAAACATAAGAAATGAACTATAATGCATGCATATCTCCTCTTCATTTTGGCGATCATTATACGCAGTTTCTCTACATCAGAGTTATTGCTTCCCTCACAGCATGCCCCGTGGACCGATGGGGCAGCGACTGCCAGCACGTATGCCTTTGCCACAACGGAGGGACATGCGACCGCGTGTCCGGCGCCTGCGTTTGCCCCGCGGGCTACACCGGCGCCACCTGTCAAGACAGATGCCCCAAGGGAAGCTACGGCACGAATTGCCAGCACACCTGTCTGTGCCAGCATGGTGCCACATGTCAGCACGATACTGGTGCCTGCGTGTGTCCTCCTGGGTTCACCGGCACTTATTGCGAAACTGGTCAGTTGTGATAAATTTATTAACTACGGGAGAGAGAGAGAGAGAGAGACAGATAGATAGAGAGAGATGACTGCATATATCTACATATGCCAAGTAATTCTACCACTTCATCCGCGACTCATTATCTCCCTCAACTCATTCTTCCAGGCTGCGAGGACAACCGGTTCGGGCCTGGCTGCGTGCTGGAGTGCGAGTGCCAGAACGGAGGCAAGTGCGACCCGGCAACTGGAGCGTGCCAGTGCCCCCCGGGCTGGCGCGGCCACATGTGTCAGAAGCCCTGTCAGCGAGGTATACATTGCTGCTCATTTCCCTAGTCTGAGCTGTTTTCTTTCCGTTTTCTGAATATGCTTCTTCTTTTTCTTTTATTCTTTCAGGTTCGTTTTACTTTTACCTTAAATTAGGCAAAATTCTGCCATTAATGGTTTGTGCTTTTGTATCATCCTTCCCATGGATTATTTCACATTCTATTTTCAGTTATCCAATCGTTCTTCATATTACTATAAATCTAAGTAAACCTTCTTTCCACCAGCATTCTGGGGCCAAGGCTGTGAGCAGGTGTGTGACTGCGAACACGGGGCACAGTGCCACCACATAACAGGGAAGTGCCAGTGTCCTCCTGGGTATATCGGCGACAAGTGCCATATCAGTGAGTACAGGCGGCAGGCCTTTATTAATCAATATATCATAGTGTCGAAAATCATAGATCTGACCACATAGTTTTGGTTGACAAGCGGAAATTGACAAATCTCCCTCTATCGTCACTTTCATTACTTAGTATTCATGTTTCTCTTTGAACAGTCTGTCCCGCCGGCTTCTTCGGCGAGGAATGCAACGAGCGATGCACGTGCGATGACGGCGAGCCATGCGACCACATGACTGGTGCCTGCTCCTGCTCACCAGGTCGACGGGGATCACAGTGCCATCAGTGTTAGTATCCTGGTGCCAATTTCAATGGTTTTGACTTTTTTATTAGTCCCTTTTCTCTGTTCGTGTTTCCACCTGGATTTTTAAAGCTATAAGAACCCCACCTCTGAGGCTCTCCATTGAACGCCAATTCGCAGACTGCCCCGAGGGCCAGTGGGGCGAGCAGTGCCAGCAGAGGTGCGAGTGCGAGGGGTCGTCCCTCTGCGACCCGGTCACCGGCGACTGCTTCTGTCCCGCGGGCCTGCGAGGTCGCAAGTGCCGCCGGGGATGCCCTCGCGGCTACTACGGCGTCGACTGCGAACAGGTGGGTGTCAGGGGTCGCAATGCTGACCGATTCCTTCATATTTTTTTTTTCACAAAAGGTGTGATGCATACAGTCTATGAATGAGACAGAACATGCGCCATGATTTTATTCCAGAAATGCAAATGCGCGGACGGCAGCGCTTGTGACCCCGTGAGCGGACAGTGCCAGTGTCGCCCAGGGTTCTTCGGCCCAACGTGCTCGCTGCCCTGTCCGGCTGGCACCTACGGCCCTAATTGCAATATGGTATGTGTGTTGTTTACATACGTTGACGGATATAGTCTACCAGCAGGTAGACTATGACCAAAATATGTGGCCATCACTGCCCTGTAAAATTTATTACTATATCTGCTATGCAAATTATACAGTCCAGCGGTATAATTTAGCATATATATATATATATATATATATATATATATATATATATATATATATATATATATACATACATACATATACATACTATGCACATACACACACACACACATGAAACACAACACTGCGTGTAAAAGCGAAAGCCCGCCTCCATCACTTTCATAAGCAATTCATCTCCTTCACTAGACGTGCACCTGCGAGCACGGCGGCGTCTGCGGGAGTAACGGCGAGTGTCGGTGTCCCGCCGGGTACCGAGGGCCTCGGTGCGGAGAGCGGTGTCCGAGCAACACGTGGGGCTTCAACTGCGCCTTCGACTGCAAGTGCAACAACGGCGCCATCTGCCACCCGGGTCAGTGTCCGCTCTGCTTCGTGGCATTTCGTTCTACAGTCATGGGTTGACCTCCATTTCTTTGCCGCATAACGGACGGCGGTCGTGAATATGAATATTTGATTTCTCATATGGAATATCATGCACAGGCCTATGAATAAACATGTTCAGTTATGGTGATTCAAAATTAAGGTAAATATTCCACCACAGCCACGGGCGAGTGCCAGTGCGGCCTCGGGTGGACCGGGCAGCACTGCGACGAGGAGTGCGGCCCGGGCCGCTACGGGCCGGACTGCAAGCTGGACTGCGCCTGCCACCACAACGCCTCCTGCGACCGCTTCTCCGGCTGCTGCGACTGCGGGCCAGGCCGCTACGGACGCTTCTGCGAGCTAGGTGAGTGTGCGGGGAGGGCCTCGCCTTCAGGGTGTGGGCGTGAGCCTTGAATAGACAAAAAGGGAATCAAAAAACAAATATGTAACTATATGAGTGAGAAAAAAGAAAGAAAGAAAGAAAGAAAAAAACAACATAAATAGGCAGATGAATAAAATATGGGGCTATACCACCATATAGATAGATAGATATAGACACACGCACATTTACATATATGTGTGTGTGTGTGTGTTATTTATTATAATATATATAATATATATATATATATATATATATATATATATATATTATATATATAATACATATATATATATATATATATATTATATATATATATATATATATATATATATTATACGTGTGTGTGTGTGTATGTGTATGTGTGTGTGTATGCATATATATACATACATGCATGTGTGTATATATATATATATATATATATATATATATATATATATATATATAATATATATATATATATATATATATATATATTATATATATATATATATATATATATATATATATAAATACACACACACACACACACGTGTCCATGTGTCTTCGTGGCGCGCGCACTCGGGTATGGGTACGCGCGTGCGTGCATGTGTCATGTCATATGAAACCCATTTCTTCCATTCCTCGAGCATTCCGAAACCCCTTTCCCGCCGCCGACAGAGTGTCCCGCTGGCTTCTACGGCGTCTACTGCAGCAGCGTCTGCGAGTGCGAGAATAACGCCACCTGCGACCCCCACACCGGCCAGTGCCGCTGCCTCCCGGGCTTCACCGGCGGCACCTGCGCCGACGCCTGTCCTGCGGGTGAGTTGGCTCTTAGGCCCGTACTTTTAAAACCTTTCGCCAGGGCTGGCGAAAGGTTTCGCCGGGCGATCCGGAATTTCATACTATTTAAAATCATGCCTGGCGAAAGATCATATTGGAACAGCCTGGCGAAGCAAAGGCGCGAGAGCTGTTTGAATACCATTTTCTTGCTTTCAAATTATAAATTAGTAACATATTTGTGTATGATATGATGTAGAATCACATTTAATTCTAAAATATCTTAAAATCATAATTTATTATGAAATAACGTACATACGTATTTTTTTTCAAGACCTTCGATGTTCCAGTCGAGAGCTCAAGACATCAGCTGTATTCCTCCCCCTACCCCTACCCCCACCCCCGAGATGACATATTTAGATTATTGTTATTGTTATTTTGGTTGTAAGGATAATGTTCTTTTCACAAATGTTACCAGAAGTTTTTATGGCGGCATGTTTACTTTCGGCTATAGAAACATAGCTGTAGTGCTCCACCGCCCTATAATGAGGCGTGTCTAATGATACCCTTGTAGGCCTACAGTTCAATATCTTATATCAGTTAGGAATAGTAAAATAGTAATTTTAAACTCTTTTGTTAAAGTATAAAGTTATTTTTTGTATAAAAGTATAAAGTTGATATAGTATAGTATAAAGTACTTTTAAAACCTTTCGCCAATGCTGGCGTTCGCCTGGCGAAGCTTCGCCAGGCGAACATCTGAGTGAGGGAGGCCTTACTTTTAAAACCAATGCAGGTGTTCGCCAGGCCTGGCGAACGAAAGGGATCGCCAGGCGCTAACATCTTGGATTCCTGCTAAATCTAGCGCTTCGGCGAATGAAAAAAACGCGAGAAAAAGCAAAAGGTTTTAAAAGTACGGGCCATAAAGTTAACCTTGTTATAGTATAAAGTGTAGTATAGCATAAAGTATAAAGTTAATTTTGTTTTAATATAAAGTTATTTTCAACTTCTTTGTTATAGCATAAAGTTAAATTTTAACTCCTTTGTTATAGTATAAAGTGAGACTATTGCGGAAACAACATTTTCGTCTTCTCGAGATTAATAAATAAGTTTAGGTTATGTTATGTGCACTGCAGATGTAAACAAATTTGCGCTAGATTTAGCGGGAATGCAAGATGTTAGCGCCTGGCGATCCCTTCGCCCGCCCTGGCGAACGTTGGTTTTTGAAAGTAAGGCCTCCCTCACTCAGAGGTTCGCCTGGCGTAGCTTCGCCAGGCGAACGCCAGCACTGGCGAAGGTTTTAAAAGTACGGGCCTTAGTTGTCACGAGAAGTTTTTTCCCTTTGGTTAAGAAGTTACTTCAGGTTAACACAGATGCAGTCTTAAGCTTACTACCCGTGCTTTCAGGAATGTTCGGGCCGCAGTGCAGACAAGTGTGCGAGTGTGGAGAGTATCCCTGCGATAAGGTCAGCGGAGAGTGCCAGTGTCCTCCTGGCACCTATGGTGATAATTGTGCCAAACGTGAGTTTGTGTGTTCATCCATCTCTATACAAAATATCATGTTCAAGTGTGTCATGTGGTTATCTGTTTTCATAAATATGCGTTATCAGAATAGATATTTACTATTTTACTATTTTAAATGTACAGACATCCGTGTTAATTTTTCAATCTTTTTTATTTAATCTTTTCTAGCTTGCGGCCTTGGAAGGTATGGCCCTGGGTGCAAGCAGGTGTGCGAGTGCCACAACGGGGGCAGCTGCCACCCTGAGACGGGGCACTGCACCTGCACCCCGACCTGGCTGGGACCCACGTGTCAGGAAAAGGACGGTGAGTTCCTCGGGTTCTCTTTATTTTCTGCTGATCTTTATGTATGTATATGTCCTGTATAGGCACATGAAGAACATCGATGAACAGGGGGCCACCTTCAGTGGAATGAAACAGATGTGTGTTTTTTTTGTTTTTTTTTTATTAATTTGCAGTCTATACGATGGAGTGCATAACCTTCTCTGATGTTTTATCTTTCAGTTTCATTCATTACCACAAGTGATCAACGCGGTCGAGCAGACATCCCTGTGGAACTAAGTTGAGTTTAGAAATATGAAGAGAATTGCTTATATAAAAAAATACCACGACCGCAAAGGATTGATTTCGAGAATTCAAGAATGAGAGGAAAATACAGTACCTCAAAACAGGTTAGAATGATCACTTTAATTGATCGTTCGTTTCATTAACATAATTTATGCAGCACTGAGTTCTGTACTCCCAATATCCGTTTTAAGTTATAACCACTTTTTATTTCTCCAAGTCCTACCATAAACCCCAAGATCAAGACATTCTTGATTATTTCCGGGTTTTATACAGAACAAGGATTTACAAGATATAAATATCCAAGGTTACGCCGTCATTGTTGTAATAACTGATTTTAATTGCTAAGGTTGTATAAAATGCTGAAGCTATTTTATGTATGTAACTACCTGTAGAAGCTTTGTAATCGGTTGCTTAAGTAAATATATTCACTCCGCGCCTTTGTGTAACTGTGTTTGTGTAAACCAATGAGTATGCAAATGATTTTACGCTTGCTGCGAATTATCTACGGTTTAACGAAGTCTAATTATAGATGCTTAGAATGTGGTGTTAAGAGAATTACAGGATTTTGCATAGTCTTTACATATCAATTATTAAGGAAACATCTATGACATTCGAAATTAATTTATACTTTACAGCTAATTCCATTACCATTCCAGTTGGTCAGTCATATTTTTAAATCTGCATCATTCGGATCTTACGTACTTAGACTTCCTTAATCTTATAATATTCCCCGCACTGCTGATATTTCGTTGCTTAATAAAAGTGATAACGATTCGGGCAAGGTAGTAAATTATTATTTTTATATGGGAAACTAAAATTGAATCTACTCCAGATATAAAATCTCTACATCCTCCCTATGACTCAGTCTTTTCTTAATAAATGTCTTTTAATGTGTTCATGGTACGTGTGCAGTATCTAAATTCCATATTTTAGATCAAATATAATAATGCTTAGTCTTAAAATCACTCCTAATTATTGAATATAATATTATCAATATGTGCAAAAGTCTCTAAGACAATATAATGAAATTTTATGAAACCTAGACTTTAAAAGTATTACAGTAGAGTTATGAAGTATTGTGTGAGTATATTTGATAATGTGGATAGTGTATTTTTCGTTCGATTTTACTTTTTTTATACAGAACCTTAACTGACAAGATGTATTTTCAAAATTGTCATTGTCATTATCATTATTATTTTTTTTTTGTCTTTTTTATGATTACCATTTATATCATTATGGTTATTACTTGTGGTTATCTATCTTTGATGAAAATTTTCATTAGTTATTAATATCATTATTAAACCTATTATTAATATTATTCTTATCAATATTATTACCATTATTATCATCATTATTACTACCACTATCATTATTATTATCATTATTATTATAATATTATTATTACTATTATCATTATCATAATCATCACTATTATTATCATTATTATTATGATCATCATTATTATTATTATCATTATTATTATCATTGTTATTATTATTATTATTATTATATTATTATATTATCAATATTATTACCATTATTACTATCATTATTATTATTATCATAATTATTATAATATTATTATTACTATTATCATTATCATAATCATCACTATTATTATTATTAATATGATCATCATTATTATTATTATCATCATTGTTATTATCAATATTGTTATTATCAGTATTATTATTATTATCATTATTATTGTTATTATCATTATCATTGATATTATTATTATTAAAATTATCATTACCATCATTACTTTTATTGTCATTATTATTTTCGTATTATCCTTTTTGTTATGATTATCATTGTCATGATTTTTTATTATCATTATTATTTTATTACTATTATTATCATGATCATCATCATTATCAATATTAATGTTGTTGTTCATATTGTTATTATTAATATTATTTTTATTTCTAATATCATTATAATTACCAACGTCATAATCATTATAGTCATAACTATAAATGCAATTATAATAATGATGACAATAGCAATAATAAAAAAAATAATAACAATAATAATGATAAAAAATACAGTAATAATAATAATGATAGTAGTAATAATAAAAATAATGATTATAACAACATCAGTAATAGAAATAACAATAGTAATGAAAATGAAAATAATAAGCAATCATGATTGACTATTAAAGTGGTAATTAGGAATAACAAAAATGTTTATAAAAGGTCATGTAACTCATAATCATAAAGGAATCAATAGATATTAGGTATGATAATAATAACAATATTGATGTCATTGGCGTATTATTACTATTCTTATTATGAATACCATTATTACTATCATCATTATTACTTTTTTACTATTATTATTTTTATAATTATTATCACCATTCTTATTCTTATCGATATTGATATCATTATTTCACAATCTTTATCATTATTATTACTGTTATTATTATCATTATCATTACCATCACTGTTATTTTTACTATTATTATTAATAATTATGGTCATCATTATTGCCTAACTTAATTTTTCATTGTTCTTAGTAATTTCCTTGTTATTCTTATCATGATTCTTCTTTATCTTACCATTATTATCAATATCATTATCATTACCATTAAAAATTAATACATTCTTGTGTTGTATGGTTTAGTTCTGGTTAAGGATCACTGCCATGTGTTCTCAGCTTTAAATTTGACCTTTAATGATTTGTCCCTTTTTTTAAGAAATAAAGAATTTCGAAAACATAATCCTTCCTTTTAATCTGAGTAAAAAACCTTTATTCCACAATCAGTATTAAACACTGTGAGCTCAATCTGCAGGCAAATTCTTTGGTGGAATTTGGTGCCCGTGAATGAAGACTTTCAATAGCATTTGCACATGATCTAAATAACCATTTGATAAGTCAAATAGAAAAAGAGAAGTATTAATAAGTTCATGAAAAGAGCGGGTGTATATACGAATGTACACACTATAATAACTTATATAGTATAATATATAATATAATATATATAATTATTCTGAGATGAAAGAGAGATGAGAGAGACGAGAGAAGAGTGAGAGACGAGAGATTTCTACGAAGATAGAATAGTGTGGAATGAAATGTTGATATATATGCAACGTATTAATATATAGTTATAATGGTATACTGATTAGGTTGTTTTTTATAGTGAATAGTGATATGGTAGTGAGATGACTACGTAGAGAGAGGTGAGAATGTATCGCATTCTTCGAGAGTAGTTTCGGATTAGAAGAAGAGTATTGAGACAAGAGTGAGATCAGGCTGCTCACCTCTTTAACGGTAATAAAGCATTATATAGAGACTAATGATTTTAATTGCCATCAGTGTGTGTTGGACATATAGCAAGTATCAAACATTACATATGTACACACAGTAATTACATCATTATTCATGAGACATCTTATAACATAATACATACAAACACCTACACAGCCATATGTACGCACTAACACGCCCTCAACGTAGCTACATCGGCTCTTATTTTCTCACTCATTTATTATTTCTCACTGGCGTCTTATTCGTCTCTCTCTCACTTTATTTCTAACTCTTGATAGTATAGTCAAAACTACAACATCAACAATTACTCAACACTAAGTTAATTAACGCTATTACATCTGCCATATATAGAAATCAGTAGAGCGTGATTCTTTTTACCTGTTTATGACGCAGCGCCACATATTCCGTGAGGCGGCACTTTTAGTCGTTGCGATTCCTCTGCGGAGGGACCGGACCTGAACCCAAGACAGAATTGAATCCAGAAACCCTTGTAGAAAAACCTCAGCCTTTAACGCCGTAACCGGATCTCCAACGTGGAACCGCTTAGCAGAACCCTACCCGGAACCCCAGCTAGGAACCCCAGAGCCCCAGTCCCCCCGAGGGGACTCTCCCAACCCCGCCAGGAACTCCCGAAGCGGTTTTCCAGATCACCTCCGTTGTAAACTTATTTTCCAGGCTTTGGCCTTTCCTGTTCGCCGCCGCGGAGGGAAACTAAAGGCTGGGTGGTGCGCTTCGATAAGGAAGGAAGCTTGGGGGAAACGATTCAACATACACAAATATGTGTTTATGTTGTATGTATTATATTATATATATATATATAAATATATTATATATATACTTATTATAATATTATAAAAAAAAAATAATTTTATTTATATATTTTATATATATTAATATATATATATATATATATATATATAATTATATATAATATATTATTATATTTATGCATAATATATTATATAAATATATATATAATATATAATTATATATATTTATTTATTATATTATATATTAACATACATTGTGCGTTGTATGTAACAACTACGATGTATCATACTCGCATTGCGTCTGTCCTCGCCATTCCGTCGACCGTGTAGCCCCCCTCCCCTCCTCCCCCCCACCCACCCTAGCACTGCTCTCCCTCCGCTGCGCCGCAGGATTCTTCGAACCCGCGAGAGTGTTTCTTGCGGCCTTCGCCGAAGCTGGGCTCCGGTGGAATTTTGCCTGCCGGCCGGTTTCTCAGGCGATTTGCCTTCGACTTGCAGCTCTGAGAAGTTCCCTGCGTAGAAGTGAGTGTATGAGTGAGGGTAGCTCCGGGTCAGCTTAGTCGAAGGCTATTCAATAATCTACGCCATCAGAGGCAGCCATAGTCACCTAACAGCATAATATATATTAAACTAATGCAATAGTACTAACATATATTCACATATAAACTAACCCTATATCATTACATTTAGTATCGATAAATGTTGATGTGTTTTTAACTCCCTATTAGTTCTTATATTTGACTCTTTACTTCTCACTACTACCTTCCTCATCTCTCCTCTCCTCGTTCACGCACTTCCGGTGAGAGTCTAAGCATAGCCTATAAACCCCGTTCAGCCCTAGGCAAGCAGGATTATATTCTATGGTAATAGAGTATAGAAGTATAATAAAGATTGGTGAAAATTATAACTGAGAAGTAATATCAATATGACATACATTACTAACTACTATTAAATGAGAGGAAAAAACAACGATAACATAACAGGGAAATCATAGAATATAGTATAGAGTAAAAATATAATGAAAACAAGTAGTCACTGTAAGAAGAAAAATGACTAGCGGTTATAAACAATAAATAAAATTGAGAAAGAAGAAGAGGAGAAAGAGGAGGAGAAAAACAGAGATGTGGGGAACCGATCCGTAATTAAGGTTTCCGCCTTCTTCCGGCGCTCATACACCTATATATTATTATTATCTTATATACGTGACTGATACATCACGACCTCTTATACGAACCTCGGCGCCGAATACTTACGCGCCCGTATACTCACTCAACACTTCTATGGGGAATAATATCAGCGATAGTAGGAGATAATATCAATAAGAATAAAACTAATTATTTTGCCTAATTAATCAATATTATATCAGCATTATTATATATAATTCTATATTCTCTAAA